AGTAGCCGTGGGCCATAAAAATATGAGCTGAGGGCCGAATATGTTGGACATGCCTGATCTAGACTATAAAGTTAATCTATAGTGTTACACTTAAGATTTATACTTTCCTAGCAGAAAATATGCTTAAGTAGAAAGTTGAAACATTTTTACGGTCCAAAAAGGCGGTTACAGACATAAAAAACACATCATTGTAAAATCAATACAATATCATTTCTCTACTCAAAATCTAAAACCAGAAACCGCTATTTTAATAAGAGTAGGAAAATTTTTATTTTTTATTATAAATTCATTAGTGGTTATATTGTCAATATATTTCAATGTCAATAGGAACTAGTCCCTATGATTTCTTTCATGAATTAATTTTTTACCAATTGGAAATTATTAAAGAAGAAATAAACATTGGACCAAGGTACAATTTATAACTCTCCCATACATAATATTAAATTGGCAATAATATTTATTTTCTACATACCTAATGTGCACTAATTAATTTCTTAATAAATATGACGAATAAAGATATACTTAAGTGATTAATGGTTATATTATATTACATAAATATTATGAAATAGTTATACCACAAATAACGAACACATTACAGTAATATTCAACTCCATAATAACTACAGTAGTAGGTAGTGTAAGTTATTCATGCATGATCTCATCGTCATCACTCATCACTTGACAAAATAAAACTAAATAAAATCACGAGATAGGCACACGCGTGACGCGTCTTAGATAATCAGTAAAATTGTCATGTGATAAATTTATAATATTCAATGATATATATTACGGACTAAGTAGGAAATCTGGGCATTATAATATAACAATGCCCAKGCAGTGGGCACTGTGCACAAGAATCATAATTTTAATATTCAAATGCATAGTCAAATTGTTCATACATTGGCCGGGCATTGTACTAGATTGCCCGTACAAAGTGTACCCTGCCTGGATTCAAGTGAGTAGGTAGTGTATATTAAAAACCGCGCGCTGCTCAAATGTATATATCGAATTGCATTTATACGTATTACGTAACAATATCATATAATTATCATTACAAGACTATACTTAGATATTTTATTCGTACGTGACAATGTGACAGCTGCTGCCGATATTACGAACCTATTTGTAATATTAACGATAAAGTGATCATATAGTATAATTATGGCTATTTAGATAATATTTCAAAATGGAATCGTAAATATAAAATTCCTATTCCATATTTTCTAATGATTATTGTATACTACATCATTGCGTCACTTAGTCTGCCATTAGGTAAGTGGATGMCATATCCGTATGTGTCATCTCCTTCTTATAAGTTCGTATAACATAGATAATTTACGCTCAGTACATAGGTAGATCACGTTTAGCTCCGTCATAGTTTAAGATTTAATTTAAAATTAAAGGCAAGATTATTATATAGGGCATCTCTTGGATTTTTTATTATATTTTAATTTTAAAGTGAGTTATGAAYATTTTAAGATATACAAACAATTTACGATTTTAAAATACTCATAACTCGCTTTAAAATTAAAATATAATAAAARGTCTATGAGATGACCTAGATCAGCAGTTCTCARCCTTTTTTATATCCACGTACCAAATACACAGCTTGAAAATGTTCACATAGGTACCACATGATCAAATAACGTTTTTTTATTCATATAAAAAATGTATTCGTTATTCAATATATGTGAAACTGTAATTTATTAGCATCTACAAAATTATGATAATATTATAATTTATAAGCATTTAATGCATAAAAAAAAATGTACAGTTTGGTATATTGCTATTAACATCGAGTAAATMAATTAAACCAAATAATRTTTAATGTGAATAACTATTAATTATGTTTCATTCGGCGCATACTATAGTTGCCTCCCAAAATATACGAATCGCCTCCCATATATATAATTAAGTATAGTTATAGTGGTTCATAAACTTCACAAAACAGTTTCACATACCACATAAATAGGTAATGTTTATTCATTATTAAAAATATCAGACTTGGTAAAAACAATAATAATATAAAAATAATCAATACAAATAAAACATATTTTACTACTAATTAAAAATATATAGTGCAGTTAAAAAACATCAGTCTTGTAGGTATAATATATAGAATAATGTTATAATAGTAATTTTAGACAAACATTTGCTGTTTGGGATACGACATTTAAAAAAAATTATTTATTACTCATTATTTATAAAAAAAATTACACATCTATAAAAATAATAAATCAATAAGTCAAACAAAATAGGAAGTAGTACCTATTATTAGTCAATAACATAAATGCATGGTAATAATAATTGAATATAATATGTAAGTATATTGTATATAATGGAAAATTATTTATAACATTGCTTAGGCTTGTATTTTTTAGCCAATATTTGTAGGTACCTACTCAAAATTTGATATTTTTTTTTCACTCAGCTTTTTTATTTGGGTATCAATGAAAAATATTTTAATATAATCGTATCAAATACGAAAGTAATATTGTATAACAAAAGTCATAAATTACGACTTTGAAATTACAAAGTTATTTTGTTATACTGCTACATGATGTTTGAAAATGTTTGGAACCACTCATATATTTATTACTTGACTAATGGGAGGCAACTATAGTAATAGACCCTTTTCGTTTATGATAACATTTAGGGTACGTCGGGAGGAAACTCGTATATAGTCGGGAGRCAATTCTTATAAAAATTATGGGCCTTTTTGACTTCGGGAGGCAACTAGTGTGCGCCCAATTCATTTTATTTTWTTTTTTATGAAAGGTGATTTTCTTAGGATAACATTCCGCTTACTACAGGTTGAAAAACGCTGCCCTAGATAATAATGTAACCTTTAATATGTATAAAAGATCAATTCACTTTAAATTTTAAACTAACGGAGCTAAACGCGCGTGATATGATGAGCGTAAAATTTGCAATGTTACGTACTTGTGTAAGACGGGAACAACACATACGGGTCTGGCATCCTATTAACGTAACATGTATRGTGTTCTTTTTTTCTTTTGGTCAACATTCTTAACTATTTTCTATTGCAATTTTGCAAAGTGGTGATGGAATATAATTCACCAATAAAGTTATAATTGAGTTGTGTAGTATATGTGGGGAGAACTTAAGATTGTCCATGGAAAGCCTTGACACTCATAAAATCAAAGATCTGTTGACAGAGCCAATCAAATAAGTCATTCAATATACCTAATATATCTATACTCGCAACATAAGCTTTTAAATTTGTTCAATTTATGAAGAATCGGAGTGTTCACCTTAGTATATAAGGATGTACGGAACTATGTTTGAAAAATTGAAACACCTGCTAAAGTTGACTTAAAATCAACCCAAATTCTAATACAAATTTACCTATCTTCTATTAATATATCTACCTATTAATCTCTACATTAAAATCAGAGGATGAATTAGAAAAAGTTCTAAGCTGTGGAGTTGTCATCGAAAACATAAACAAGACATACGAAATAAGTGTTGGAAATTATAAAGACGACAGTGCAAAATCATTTTTTAAGTAGATACTCTGTAAGATGTTTTATTTAATTTTTAATATATTTAATCTATATAGTGTCCAAATCTAATTGGGCATCGTATACTTATACAATGACAGGGTAATTTTAACTTAAGTTATTCCAACTTTCCATTGAAATTTGGCTTTGTGCTTTGTGCACAATGCCCAACTTCCTACTTCGCYTATAAGATATATGTATACAATACCATACAGTGGACGCCGCTTATAAGACTGACGGTTCAGTCACTTAATACTTAATAGACTCAAACTCATCTGAACGGTCCGGATATAAAATCCAAATACATTATAAAAAATTTGGTTATAGAACTCAAATTTCGTAAATGAAAAAATGGTAGAAAATAAACATTTTTGGTTAAAATTTAGAAATAAATTTGGTTTCAAATTTTACCATGGTGTGATGTGATGTGTTTTTATTTTTTATTTTTTTGTGTCTGTCATCACGTTTTGGGGCAGTAAAAGTGCTTCGATTTTTGACTTCAGTACCTCGTTCGATCAGAAAGTGAATCTAGTTGGTACTTTAGGTGGTCAAAAGTAAAAAATTCTCAATATTTTTCTAAATAATCGGGATAAACAAACTAAAAATTAAGGGGAAAAC